AAAAATATTATGCTTCTCTTCTTTTCTCTTTCCCGTCCATGGTCCAGTTTTTATGTTGTGTGCCTCTCTCCCCCCTTCATTATCTCTAGTCCAGCTTCTCTGATGTTTTGCCATTCTCCTTCCATTCCTCCTCCACCAAACCTAGGCGTTTTTCCAATAGAGATCCACTCCCACACAAATTCACCCTTTCTGTACCTCCCTCACCCCCCCCTTTTTTTTTATCATGGGCTCTTGGCCCATGAATTTAGATGACAAGGATACTGCTTTGACCCAGAAGCCTGGGATATGCTGGATGATGAGGTCCCTGCGCTCCAGGAAGGGTCTTCGCATCTGGATGAACTTGCGCTTCAGACGGAGGAAGGCCTTGCCTGCCTTGATGTTCACCGCCTCCAGGTCCAGTTGAATGTTTTCCAGTGCCTGCAGGATGCACTCTATCTTCTCGGCGTTTTTCTTGCTTTCCTTCTTCACCTTCCTCTGCTTCCTCTTCCTCCTCCTCCTCCGCTTCCTCACACTTTCCTTTTCATCCTCATCGTCATCTTCCACTAGGATGATAGCCTCTTCCTTCCCCCCTGGACCGGTTAACCTCTGGTACCCCCATTGCCCTGCGCTACAGGTTTCCAGGGCCTTCTCTCCAGCAAAACTGCCGGGCTCCACAACCTGAAAGTCAATCTCCACACTTCCCCCAGAAGCCTCCGAAGGAGAGAATGTTTCTAGGCTCTCCGTGGGAGGGGGCGCCTCCCCATACCCTGACTCCATCTCAGGCTCCCAGCCGGGACCCCCAGCACCCAGGGTGAAGTACGCGCGGATCCCTCCCTCCTCGAGAATGACATAGGGCGGCGGCGGAGGCAGAGCGGGGCCCAGCCCCACCCCCCTCATGTCAGCCAGCACCTGTGCAGCCTCGGTTTCCTCCTGGAGCCTCGGGCGCTGCTCGGGTGGAGGCAGGGGCAGTCGCAGGAGCGGCGGGGGAGGCGGAGGCGGCGGCGGCGGCAGCTGCTCGTGCTGAGCGGGCTCGGAGCTGCTCAGACGACGGGCCTTGGCCGGAGGCCCCTCATCCGGGCGGTCCATGGCGACCCGAGCTCGCAGCTCAGGGGATCGCACTCGCCCCTTCGCTCTCGGCCAAATCGCCGCCGCCTGTCACACCTGAAGCGGAGCCGCAGCACCTCACGCGACCAGCTCTCCCCACAGCCTCGCTCTGGCGTTCCCTCCCACAGCGCCAGCCCTACTCCCTCCGCGCCAAGCGCCCAGGCCCCGCCCTCTCCGTGATGTCAGAGGCCCGTTCGGCCTCGCCAGTGGCTGCCAGCCGCGGCCGCGGCCCTCTCTCTCCCTCGACCTCTGCCCACTCTCACGCAATCCGCTTGCCAACACCGCACCTCATCTCTTTCCGATTGGCTCCCCTCCGGGCCCACCAATCACCGGGCTGACTCCCCCAGCGACGAGAGGGAAACTGCAGGGCGATTGGCTGCAAGGGAAGCCAAGGGGGGAAAGAAGCCCCTCTCCCTCACCCCTCCAGCATATTATCCAATGGGAAAAGTACCAGTGGCTCTGAAGACCCAAAAACAAAACAAAAAACAAACGCAGGCACCGAGAAGGATGTGCTCAGATAAAATTGGAAGAGCCTCGCTATCGTTTTCTCTCTTCTCGGCCCTCCCCTCAGTAACTACGCACTTCTTAAATCTGCTCCTTTCCCTGTCCCCAGCGTTTGATCCAGTGGCGAACTCTGCTGTGACCCCACCGGGGACTAGGGTTGCCCAGAAGAAGCCTGGCATTTCGAAACCTAGGGCCTTTGGTTTCGAGCCAGATTTTGACGTGGCGTTTTCCATCTCTGCAAAATGGCTCTAGAAATAATAATCACACACAAAAAGTAACTTCCTCTGCGTCATTAACATGATTGTGATTCCGTTCATCCGCTAGAGTTTTCTAGGATTTTCTCTTTATCTGCTCAATATTTACCCTCCTTCGGATCCTTTCCTCTCCCTTTCCCCAGTGTATGCTTTTTAAAATTGTATTCTGGATTTTGGGGGGGCCAGATGGATGGTCTTTCGTGAGGTAGGGTGGTGAGTTCTGGCTTTGGTCTGGGATTCGCATCAGGGGCCTACTCTTCATTTTGTAACCCTAACCAAATCACTGCCTTTTTCTGAGCTTCAGTTTCCTCTCCTCTAAATTAGGGACCCTTAAGACATGTAGGAAACTGCCCATTGCAGCCTTTCTGTGGTAGCAGAAAATTGGAGGCAACCTGGAGACCCATCACCAGGGGAATGGATAAGAAAAATGTGATATATGTAGAAGATGGACCACTAGAATGAATTAGATTTACGTACAGCAGCAAGGCTGGATCTCTAAAAAACAGAATGTTGAGTGAAAAACGAAACAACAGGATTTAAAGTACAATACTGTTTATGTAAATTAAAACACATAACAATACCATATATTTTTCACAGATACAGATATATGTAAATAAACACATAAACGGTGAATTGGAAGGACATACATTAAATACACGAAAGTGGGTGCCCATGTGGGAGGGGGGAATTGGATCAGGGATGGGTGATGAAAGGACGAAACAAAACAAAAGAATAAAAGGGACTCACATGGACCAAGGATGATACAGTGTGCCAAGAACTGAGGAGTACGGTCAACTCAATTCTGTGCACCTGAGAGAATAAGTAAATAAAGTAATTGAGTGCCTAGGGAGCAGGCTAGCTGGGTAGACTCCCGGGCTTGGCTTTGTTCCCCTCGTAACATCCCTCCTCTGAATTTAGTCAAAGCTTACCAAAGCCTCAGCTGTATACAGTGGACTCTTCAAAGGGGCTTCCATCCCAGACTCAGCAGTCCGTCCAGAAGCCATTACTTTGTAGGGGGCATTTTCTAACCCCATTACTTCACCCTCAAGCATAATCCCCAATTCCCAGTCCCTATTCTCCGTTGCGGTCCACTTTCAGGAACACTTCATTTGTGTTTTGAAGAGGAGACTGACAGAGGAGTTGGGATGGTACCTGGGGGTTCCAGGCTTTGGGAAGAGATGGGGTTCTCAAGTATCCTGCCCCCACCCATGTTCAGAACCTGGGCCAATGGGGCAGATTTTATGAAATGGGAGTCTACCCTCTTGCTGCATACATATGTACGGTTTTTAAATTCTATTCTCCGACCACTCAACCTCCTGCTGCAGGGACATACTCTAGTCTGTCTCTTTTCAATTAGGTGCATACGTGTATGTGTGTGTGTGTGTGCGCGCGCGCGCGCGCTGTATGTCTCCACATCCAGGTATTTGCACATGTGTGCACCAGGCAGTGCTGCCTCCCCACACAGAGTCACACACAGTCGATCATATCTCCCCACATGTGGTCATGCAGACAGGACACACACACACACACACACACACACACACACACACACAGAGTCAGAAAGAGAAAACATCCAATATAGCATTGTTCTTTTCAGTTTTCCATTTACAAAATCCAATGGTGAATCCAGGCGGTTAGAAAAAAGAAATGGAGGAAAACCCTCCAGAATGTACCCTATCTACTCCACCCTTGTGGTCCCCCCACCCCACTCCCTGGGAAAGGCACACCCATCACTATCACTGAGAGAACAGGCACCCCCCCCTCCAGCCTCTCAGCCACTCTGGCCTGCCTTTCCAGGGCCACTCCACAGCCAGGCTTATTAATGTCTCTCCTGCCTAGAGTGCCCTCCCCATTCCTCTTGGGTCAAGGCTTCCCCAGTCCTGGGACTGTCTTGGGGGGTAGAGAGGGAGCTTAGGACAAGGGCTTCTATCCGAAAGGGAAAGGGGTGTAGATAAATACAGATCTCCCCCTCCCCCAGGAAACGAGAGGGGGACAAAGAATCTGGGCAAGACCAGGCAAAGGAATGCCAGCTTGGCTCACCAGTCCATAAGAACTGGCCATGATGTGAGTCCAGGGTGGACTCTGCCCTGGGAGGGAGGCTTGGGCTCTCCCACCTGAAGAATCTGGCTGTAGTCTGCTCCACTTTAGGTGGAGGGAAAGAAGGGGAGAAGGGATGTTCAGGGGAAGGAAGTTGGGGGCTGAGGGTCCAGAAGGCCAAGGGCTACCAAGAGGGGCTTGAGGCCCCTGAGGCTTGAAGGGGACAAAAAGAGGTCAGAGAGTAATGGACTCAAGTCCACAGTGCCTTAGAGCTTATACCACTATGTATTATGCCAAGGCCACCCCCCAACTTTTCGTCTTCAGGACAATAGTATGAACCCAGGAGACAATTCTGGGGTTGAGTTCTGCTCTGACCCCAGACACTGGTTTCCAGTTAGTCTGGGGAGTTTGGCTTTCTCCCTACAGTTCCCTGGGGGGAATGCTCCTGCCCATATGGCACCCACATCAGCCCTAGTGGGGCTGGAGTGGATTTCCATCCTCAGGAAGAAGAGTTGGGGGCTGGGGATCCAGGAGGCAGCTTGAAAGAATGCAGCCAAGCTCAGGTCTCTTCAGCTCGAGGCATGCAGCTGACATCCCATTCTTCACCTAGCCTGAGCCCATTCCAAGGGTCCTTCCCCTCCCCTCCTGGTTTCTTGAACAAGAAACACTTAGGAGGTTTGGACATGGTGGGGAGGGAGAGGAAACTAGGCTTGGGACCAGGGTTAGCTTAAAACAACATTGCACACAACATCGCAATTAAACATCCCTGCTCCCTGGGGACCCAGCACCCCCTTTGATCCCTGTTGTCAGCAGATGAATTTCTCCTTAAAATCCAGGTCTTGCTAAAGGACTTGGAAGGAGAAGGTGCATGGGAGCAGAGGGGGCAATAAGAGCTCTGGAAGTCTATTTTACAGGACAAATGTCCCCCTTCTGGACAAAGTCAGGAGGAGAGACATTAAAGCAAGAAAGCCTGTCTCCTCAGCTGTTAGTAGAAAAACCTGCATTTTCAGTCTTATTTTCTTTCTTGAATTGTCACTTCGGAGAGAGAGAGGAAGAGAGAAGAAGAAGAAGAAGAAGAGGAGGAGGGGGAGGAGCAAGAAGAAGAAGAAGAAGAAAGAGAGAGAGGAAAGGAGAGAGATTGTGGAAATGGAAGAGGAGGCGGCGGAGACAGGCCCCATAGAACTAGAAACGCCTCTCTCCCAGTCCCCCACCCCAGTCTCCAACCCTGGGGAGGTGTTGGCAAAGGTGCCTAGATTCCAAGTAGTTTGAGGGGCTGGGGCTGGAGCTCAGAAAGAAAAGCTCCTGCATGGGGCCCACCCTTCCCTTATTGTTGGCCCCAGCAAGGTAGCCATGACCTTCTCCCTGCCTGACTGCCTACCGGCCTGTTTCACATGACACAGTAGGGTTCTCTGGGAGCCGGGGCACCTCCTGTGCCCCAGCAGGGGGCGTGAGTCCTCAGGCACTTCTTGAGGTCCTTGTTGAGCAGGAAGCAGACGATTGGGTTGACGGCAGCCTGGGCGAAGCTCATCCAAACAGCAGTGGCCAGGTAACGGTGGGGCACGGCACAGGCTTTCACAAACACTCGCCAGTAGCAGGCCACGATGTAGGGTGACCAGAGGAGCAAGAAGAGCAGTGTGATTGCGTAGAACATACGGCCCAGCTGCTTTTCACCCTTGACCTCGTCCATGCCCAGTAGCCGCCGGCTGGCTGCGTGCCCATTCTGCCTGATACCCAGCAGGGTTGGTGGCATGGGCCCACGGCCAAAGCCAGCGATCCAGTTGGCAGCAGCCTGGCCGGTAGCCCCAGGACCATGGAATGTCCAGTTCTGGCTGATGGCTGGCACCATCTGCACTGGCTTCATCTTGCGGTGACGATACTCGAAGAGGAGCAGCTTGCCATAGACAGCATGTGTGGCTGCCATGAGCACAGCCAACATAAGCATGAAGCCCAGCGTGTCATTGGCCTTGAAGTAGCGATGCTCAAAGATGCACTGATCCTCCTCACGGATAAATTTGTAGGTGCCCACATCAAAGACGGGTGGGAAGGCCATGGCCACAGACAGGGTCCAGGCCATGCAGATGACAGCTGCGCATGTCCAGAGTGTCATGCGCTTGGCGTAGAAGCGGTGGTGGGCGATGGCCATGTAGCGGGTGACGCTGATGCAGAACAGCATGAAGGCCGCATGGAAGCAAAAGAGCACGGCCATAAAGGCCACGATCTTGCAGCTGAGTGCACTGAAGGTCCATGAGGAGCCGTGGCGCACAGAAGCCAGCACAAAGGGGAAGCAGACGGCAGAGCGTATGCCGTCGGCCAGGCACAGGTCCAGCAGAAAGTAATAAGGAGCCTTGTGCAGGGCACGCTCCTTGAGCACCAGCAGGGACAAGATGGCATTGCCCGCCAGGCTTACACACATGATCAGTCCCAACAGCACCAGCTTCACATAAGCTGATGCTGATGGCGGGGACAGTGCGCCGCTCACCTCTTCCGGCTCTCCAGTAGTGTTGGCCATACTGAGGGGGCAGGGGCTGCTCCCAACCTTACGGGATCAGCCAGTCCGGTATTCGATGGGCCCTGGGGGACTCCATCAGTTGTCCTGCTGGGCTGCACCTGCAAATGGGGATAATGGGGGAGAGACAGACAGAGACAGAAAGATGAGGGCAGGAGAGAGATAGAGAGAAAAACGCAGAGGCACAGAGACAGAGCAAGAAAGGATAGAACAAAGAGAAAATGGTGACAAAGATATAAATAGATACAAATTGAGACAGCAATGGGAGGGTGAGAGTGAGAAGAGATAAGAAGAAACAGGACCAGAGAGACAGGGAGAGAGGAGGGAGAGGAGAGATAGAGATAGAAATGGGGGGAGAGAGAGAGAGAACAAAAAAAGAGACAGTGAGAAACCAGTGGAAAGGAAAGGTGAGGAAGAAACAGAAAGGGCAGCGTTAGTGGGTCTACATGGCCCCCACGCTTACTCCCCGGCTGGTGTCAGGTCCTGCCCCTGGCCCACTGCTGCTCCTACCCCCTCCTTGCTGGGTGAGGGGGTGCTTCACCTGTCCGGCTGTCCTCGGTTACCTGTTTCTTCCATTGGTGGTTCTGTGGGGTGGGGGTGTTGGTGCAGCTCTTCTCCCCCTTTGCAAAGACCTAAGGTTATGTTCTCCAAACTGTTTTTGACCTCTACCCATAGTAAGACATACATTTTACATTACAACCAGGTACACATACACATGTGTGCACACAGATCTGAACTAAAAGTTTCAAAAAACGGTATTGATCCTGTGTGTCATGTACCCTATTAGTTCTTTTCTATTTCATGACTTTTTGTGAATGTTGGTAGCCACGCATTAAACAGGTTTTCTTATTCACGATCAGGAATGTGCTTAGCATGCTCAAAGAAGGGTGGGAAGTCCAGATTGTGAGTCTAAAGATGTGGGTATGCTTGTGTACTTTCATTCATTGAAAAATGATTTATTGAGTAGCTACTGTGTGTCAGGCACTGGAGGTACAGCTGTGAGCCAGATAGACAAAGGTCCCTGCCCTAATGAAGCTGATATTCTAGATAATACATAAATGAACTATAGTAGGTCAGATGATGATAAGTTCCTTACAAGAAAGGAGGGAAAGGGGATAGAAAGTGCTAGGGGTGGGGGAGGTATACTTTTGGATGAAATGGACAGCAAAGGCTTCACGGAGGTATCATCTAAGCAAAGACTTAAAGGAGGTGAGAGAGTAAGCCATGTGGGTATTGGACGGAAGAGAAGTCCAGGCAGAGGGAACAGCCAGTGCAACACCCTGAAGTTGGACTACATGTGGTGTATTTGGGGAAGGGCAAGGGGGCCACTGTGCTTGGAACAGAGTGAGCAATCAGAAAGTAGTGGGAGGTGAGGTCAGAAAGGTGGTGAGGCCAGATCATGTAGGTCATGGTGAGGACCTTGCCTTTTACTCTGAGTGAGATGGGGGCCATGGGAAGAGAAGCGAGGTCTGATCTGATTCGGGATCGCGCAGCATCCCCCTTGCTGCTGTGAGGAGCACAGACCATGTGGAGCAAAGGGGGAACTGAGGAGACTGCACAGGAGGCTCCTGCAGTATTCAGGTGAGAAATGATAGCACTACACGCCCCTTGCCCTGCTTTATTTTTCTTCCTAGAATTTATCTCTTCTGGTGCACTATATAATTTACTTTCAAAATTCGGTTTATTGTCTGCCTCTCCCTGTTAGAAGAAAAACTCCACAAGGGCAGGGATTATAGACTCACATGCTCTTCTCTAGATGAGCAGTGCATAGCATATGGTAGACCTTCAATTAAAGGTTGTCAAATCACTTAATTGTTTGAGGGACTAAATAGGCTGGTGGCTCAAGGAGGGCTGCCTGGAGGCACCCAGGTAGGATTTGGTGAAAGAGCAGCCTGGCCAATACAGGAGTGGGAGGGCATGGGCAAAGCTTGGTGGGGGGTGGACAGGACGACTCCTGGTGTGTGCAAGCTGCGGGCAGGGGGAGAGGGAGAGTGATAAGTGAATATGGTAGGTTCCAGAGGGAAAGCAGCAAGGTATCCTGGGCAGAAGCTGGAGAAGCTCAGAACTACTGTTGGGGCTGAGATGGGTTGGAGGTTGGGGGTTACGGGCTGTATGGAGCCTCTCTACCCTCCCCTTCCAGGAAAAAGGTCACCCCTCTGTACTGTTTCCGAGTTGGCTCCAACCTGGCCTGCCACAGCCACCTCGGGACAAGTTTTTTTTTGACGGCACCCCGAGGTCTCAGACATGGTACCAGTAGGCCATGAGAAAGTGCCAGGACAGGGGCTTGGGAGAAGTTATCAAGGCCTGATAGCTCCCACAGAACTGTGGACAGGCTGACAACTGTGTGTGTGTGTGTGTGTGTGTGTGTGTCTGTAAATGTGCACACACACACAGACACACACACACACACTCCTTAGCCTTGAGGGGAAGCAGGGGGAAAGCATTAGAGACGGAGATTGAATGTAGAAGAGAGTCAGAGACACATAGAGAGTGACAGAGATGAGAGGTTTGTGTGTGTGAGAGAGACAGAGACATAGGAAGGAGAAGGGGAGAAATAAACAGAGAAATGGGAGGGAGACTTACACACCAACAGGAAGAGATAGAAATAGAGACAGAAAGGGGAAGAAGAGTGAGAAAAAAGAGACAGAGACACACACAGAAACAGAGATAATACGAGAGACAAAAAGTAAGAGAAAAAGAGACCGAGAGAGAGAAGGAGGGAAAGAGAGAAAGATAGAAAAGTGAAACAGACAAAAGGAGAGAGGGAAGGAGGGAGGGAGAAAGAGAGAGAGGAGAGGGATAATGCCAGGAAAGAAAGAGAGAACAATATAGAGATTTAGAAACCGGGGTTGAGACAGAGGCAGAGATAGAGATAGAAGCAGAAACAAAGATGGACATAGAGAGAGGGAGACACAGAGAAACACACTAAGATCCAGAAGGTGGATACTTTGTAGTCCAGAGTCTCAGCGAAAACAAAAACAAATGCTAAAATGAAACAACACAAAACAATAGCAGCAAACAAACAAAACTCTGGTGTTGCCTAGTAAGCTGGGGCGATTCTATAGGTGAGGAGAGGTTTCTTCTGAGCAGACTGGCAGCCACAGCCTGGACCCATCCTAGGCTAAAATCAGTGCATGCACATAACACATACGCACCTGCTCATGCCCAGATACTCTCAGAAAGATACACAGACACCTACACACACCCTCACACAGACACCTAGCCTACTGCTATGGAGACCTACGGACAGCAGCCAGCTTACACATAGGGACCTTGCCTCGCGTGCACGTGCACACAGTACATCTTGTATGAGGCCTCCTTCCCACAGGCACTGAATACCCTGTCTAAACACCAGCGCTTCCCATAAGTGTCCAGCAACTGACGAATGGATCAAAAAGATATGGTTTATCTATATGATGGAATACTACATGGCAATGAGAAAGAATGAAATCTGGCCATGTGTAGCAACGTGGATGGGACTTGAGGATGTTATGCTGAGCGAAATAAGTCAGGCAGAGAAGGACAGATACCATATGTTTGCACGTATAGGTGGATTAGGAGGAACTTAACAGAGGACCATGGGGGGACGATAGGGGGAAAATAGGGAGAGGGAGGGAGGCAAACCATGAGAGACTCTTGAATGCTGAGAACAAACTGAGGGCTGATGCGGGTGAGGGAGAGGGGAAGGGGGGTGATGGGCATGGGGAAGGGCACTTGTTGGGATGAGCACTGGGTGTTATACGGAAACCAACTTGACAATAAACGAAGGAAAAAAAAATTGAACACAGTGCTTCCTCTTCAACAAAGGCATTACTGCCCCCTAGGGGACATTTTGGAAATTTGTAAGAGCATTTTTGGTGGCCACAATGCTGATGTGTAGCATGTGCTTCCAATATTTTGGGGTCCAGGGCAAGGATGCTGGCCATCCAGCGATCTCTGGGTCAGTCCCACACAGCCAACATATGTCCTAAATGCCCTAGGACTTTGGACTTGTAATGAATTGAACCTTGAATCTAATTGTATTTCACATATAAATACAAAATTCCCCCTAATTTAATATACCCTAAATTCTCCAGGAATATAGCTGTCAAGTAAATCCAGAGGTGATTGCACTTTCTTTTGGGGAGCACTTTCTTTGAGTTGTTCACTATTTCAGGAAATCTCACACCTAGGCCTTTGCCTGTCATTTTCTTGCACTTTTGGCACGGCGCAGCCTCTGAGTTTTCCCCTCCCAAATCCATGTTCACTCATAAGACGGTACAAGCCTCTAACTACCCTATAGAATTTCCTGGGGAGTGCCATGCCCAAACATTTACACATTGAAATACAAATTATTTTCTTATAAATCACGTTCCTTTTACTTATTTATTTGTATTAGAGTTAATACAATATGTATATTGCATAAAATACTATATGGATTTTCTTTTGAAATTTTATGTGCAGAGAGACTATATTATCTAAGAACTTCACGTCCTTATAGTAAGGGGGTGTTATGTGTTACATAAAAGAGGGTTTAGGTATGAGAGGGCTGAGAATTGCTCATATACACAGACACACTCATACACATACACACACACACACACACACATGTGCAATGGCCCATAAACCCACAATTATAACTCCCCTAACACACACACACACACACACACACACAGATGAACACTCAAATCCTGACAGATAGCTACATGTATGCAAACCCACTCACACATTGTTCAAATCCTCTCACACACTCAAGCTTTTGTGACACAGGCATGTATACAGTGGCATACCTATATCACCACATACAAACAGTTACACATGTTAACATTCAAAGTCACTTACATATGCCACCATACTCACATGCACTTGAACCCTCCCACATGCATATACACACAAACACACAAAGACATGTACACACAGACAGAATCCCCCTTAGATATCCACAGAAATATCTGCATAGAGAAAGAAATAGACAAGCAAAAAACTGTTCACATATACACACTTGTACATACCCTAACACACTCTAACACACAGAGGCCTACTGATCCAAACCCTTTCACACAGATTAGGCATATTCACCGAAACAGACATGTATATCCTGGCACATGTACAAACAGATACC